CCCAATTATCTGCCTACAGAGGGTGGGGCAAGAGCAGAAAAGGATTTCATAATCCTTGCATTTGATATACCACCTTATCAAGTCATTGAGACGTCTCAAAGTGCTTCACGGAATATATTGTAAAATGGATTGACTGTGAATCTTGTGGGCGAAGATTCTGCGCTCAGCAGTATCCCACAAACAGTTTGGATTGAGTGAGCACATTTTATTTGGAGGGATTATTTCCACCAATCGACTAACGACCGGGTTCCAATTTACCACTAGGTAAACAGAGATGTGTGGAGTAAGAAAACTTGCCTAAGGTTTCAGCCTGTCTGGGAATCAAACCCGGGTCCTCCCACCTGCGAGGCGAACAAGCTAACCACTACGATAAGGGATTTGAATGAGGAGCCTGGCGAGGATGGTATGTGGAGCCCTGATCCTGGGCTGCGGAGTTCTATACCAGCTCCATTCTCGACATCGGTAACAAGATAAGTCTAACCCAAAACGGATAGACTGGAGTGCGACTTAATTGGGGGAAATTTCAGCTTTTCCGCTCACTGTAAAGCATGTCTAGCACTTTTTAATTAATGTTACATATTGTACATCTGCTCATAATTTGATTAACACATCAATGTGGACGTGTGCCAATAAGTATGGCAATATCGGGGAAAAAAATCACGTTTTTGCCATTTCCAGACACCCTCCCCCCACTCCGCTCCACATGCAGTCTCTCACTGAGATTAGAAACTCTCTTCCATCTCGACTATGTGTTTCTCTCTATTATACTATTGTTTCTAGATTTTCTCAGACTGGAGATTTCTATGTGTGTTGGTTAGTCAGGTATATGTTTGGCTACCTCACTGGCTGGTCCTGTGAGGATGCTGACAGAATAATAATATAATAATAATCTTTGCATTTGATACAGCACCTTATCACGTAGTCGAGACATCTCAAAGTGCTTCACAGGACATACTATAAAGTGAATAACTGTATATTTTGTGGGGGAAATACATATACATATCTATTACAACAACAACTTGTATTTATATAACTCACAGGGTAGCATCTCGGAGCGCTTTCACCACTGCCCGGGTTCCTACTCTCCTTCTGAATTTCGTCTGTGACCAGGATTCCCTCTGCCTCCTCGTCTTCCTCGACCTATCGGCTGCATTCAATACGGTCGACCACTCTATCCTCCTCCACCGCATGTCCTCCCACCTCAACCTTCAAGGCCCTGTCCTTGAGTGGTTTAGGTCCTACCTCTCTCACCGTCTCCATTTTGTCTCTGCAAACGGCTTTTCCTCCAGCCCCCGCACTGTCTCGTGCGGTGTCCATCGGGGCTCTGTCCCCTCCTCTTCACCCTCTATATGCTCCCTCTTCGTGACATCATCTGCAGACATGGGGTTAACTTCCACATGTATGCAGATGACACCCAACTCTACCTTCCTCCTATACCCTCAACTCCACGACCACCAATGTCCTGACAGCTGCCTGTCCGACATCGAGTCCTGGACGAGAGATAACTTTCTTCAGCTCAACGAGCGCAAAACTGAGACCCTCCTGATTGGCTCACGTCAGCGCCTCCGCACCTCAGGCGCTGACAGCATCAGCATCCAAGGCTGCACTCTCCACCTCTCAAAGCCATCAGGAACCTCGGCGTTCTGTTCGACCCTGAGCTGTCCTTTCTTCCCCACATCTGCACCACAACTGGCACCGCCTTCCACCTCCGGAACATTGCCAGACTACGGCACTCCCTCACCCCTCACGCTGCTGAAACCCTGGTCCACGCCTTTATCACCTCAAGGCTGGACTATGGGAACTCTCTCCTCGCCGGCCTTCCCGGCACCTCCCTCCACAAGCTGCAGGTCATTCAGAACTCTGCAGCTCATGTACTGTCCCGCACCAGGCCTTGCTCCCTCCTACCTCTCCAACCTACTATCCCCCTACCTACCTGCCCGTACCCTCCGTTCCTCTGGCTCCGGTCTGCTCCACATTCCCCACCCCAACTGCCCTACCATCGGTGGCCGGGTTTTCAGCCTCTCAGCCCCTAGGCTCTGGAACTCTATCCCCAGTGCCTTTGCCGCCTCCTCCCTTTTCTCCTTCAAGGCCGGTCTCAAGACCTTTCTCTTTGACCGTGCCTTCAGCTCCCCTCTCGACTCTCTACCCCCTCCTCGCTCCCTCCCTTCCCTCCCCCTGACCAGTCCCCCCCTGCTCGGGTCCCGACCCAACTGTCCAGCGCCTTCACGTCCTCCCGACGTGAAAGGCACTCTATAAATGCAATCTTATTGTTGTTGTTGAATACTCGCCATGCGGGTTTTCAGGCATTCATTGAAATTCCATCCAGAGTCCCTGCAACTTGGTCGCTCCCCTCGTTCAAAGTCCATCTCAAGATTTACCGATTTGACCTTACTTTCGGTCACCTTTCCCTCCCCACCTCCTTCTGCTCCTACCTCCAGCTTGTCTGCCCAGGCCACCAGTGCCAAGTGCTTTGAGGAAGTCCGCTTGATGTGAAAGGTGCTATGTAAATGCCATCACATTTCTCTGTGTCTAGAATGGACTGCGCTGTGTCTCTCCGGAATAATGCGCCCTCCTTACCTAGACCTGGAAAGCATTAGGCACAGGTTGACGAGAGCCAAGTCTTGGGAACCCCCAGAGTGTGCGTTGGAGTAACTGCTGGAGTCTAACCAGCTAAAACCACGCAGCTTGCCATTGACAATAAATTTCTGGTGAATTGCCTGATGCTCGTCCAGGATCACGTGATCTGTTAGGGCTTTCGCTTTGCAGGGTTCGCAACAGCAACAACTTGCATTTATATAGCCTTCACATAGAATAACACATCAGAGTGCTTCACAGTAACAGGAGCTGAGTGGGAAGAATCCTTGCCCCAAGTGATCAGTCTTCTCCTCCAAGTCCTATTGACAAGCCAGGCAGGGGCTGTTAGCAGTGCCCTGGAGTACTGTGGATCTGCCTGATTACTGAGACCAGCATAGGCCTGACTTACTCTTCATATTCTGTTGCCAACCGCATCATTTTGGAGCCAATTTAGCTCCAACGAGATCTCACTTACCTCCCCACCCAAGGAGGATAGTCAATCCCCTCCCGCCGGCATTATGTTTCATCCCAGAGTAAGGAAACCAGAAATGTCTCTTTCTGTGCCGGCAAAGGAGGCTGACGGCAAAGACATTCATCTCACCCCAAGATCCTATTGTTTCAGTTGATGCATCAGTTATTGAGCTCAATAACAAGGTGCTGAATTGTACAGCAGTCCAACACTGACACATCCGTCCTCCAATGCACTCACTGTGAGCAGAGATTCCAGCTGTCAAACTGGCTCAGGCAGTCAAGCTCTGGCTTTAGGGTCAAACGGTTGTGGGTGCAAGCCCCCACCCCTTCCCTTCCCCCACCCCCGCTCCTCCCACATCAGAGACCCTGAGCTCACAATCCAGGCTGACGTTCTGGGAGGTACCGTCCTTCTGATGAGACGTTCAACCACATCTCATCCTGTTCTTGCAATATTATTGGAAAAGGGAAGGGAATTTCTGATACGAGGGAACCCCACTAGCTGCTTTTTGCTTAAAAGCCTAGCGTTTGGAGGAGGAAAGGAACAGTGAAGGAGGTGAGAGAAAGGAAAGAAAAGTGATGGAATGTAAGGTAGGAAGGAAGGAAAGGAAGAGTGAAGGAGATAGGAGCGAAGAAGAAAAATTGAGGGAGATACAGTTGGCAAGAATGAGGGAGAGAAATTTTGAGTTTGAATTGAGGTAAAAATAATAATACTCCTTGGATTTGATATAGCACCTTATTAAGTCGCTTCACATAATGTAACTGTAAAGTCAATTGACTGTGTACTTTGGCTGTGTCTTCACAACCAGTCTTGGATTCAGTGACTGAATTTTGGAGCAATTATTCCGCAATCGACTAGCAACCGGGTTTCTACTTACCACAGGTAAACAGAGGCGTGTGGAATAAGGAAACTTGCCCTGTCTGGGGAAAAAAAACCCAGGTCCTCTCGTTTGCGAGACAAGTGTTCCAACCACTACACTAGAGGACTCCACGATCTTTATTAAGGTTTAAAATTTACAAAAGCAGAGCTCGTCGCATGATTATTCCTTTGCCGTGAGTGGCAAACGATGATCTGAAGAGGTTTGTGATCTATTAGTGGAGGGGTTGGTGGGGGGGGGAGAGAAATGTGAGCGTTATCAGCGAGTAACAAGCTGACAACACTGTGAGGAGGTGATGTGTTAATTGTGACCGTTTCAATATTTATAGAGCTCCTGGGCGCTTCCAATTATTACGTTTCAATCCTTCATCGCAGAGTATGTAGGTTCAATCTGTCAGCAGCTAATATTTGGGGAAGAGCAGACAGCTATGTATGAAGCATGTAAGACTGAGAGCAGAGCTTGTGAAATAATAGGCAGCTTTTTTTTTCCCCCCTGAAACATACAATATAATGTTCCATTGAAGTTGACATTTCACAGATATACCTATCAGCGGAAATAGTCTCAGGAAAGAGCAGGGAAATTGGATTTGTGCGGAGAGCTCCAGAGGGGGAGAGAGAGAGCACGGGGATGGGCTTAGAGTAGAGAGCTCCAGTGGGGCAGCGAGAACCAGTGCAGACACGATGAGGAGTGAGCAGGGGTATGGGATTAGAGAGCTCAGACAGGGGGATATGAAATAGGAGGTCATTTAGCCTGTCGAGCCCATCACCCCAGTTTATTAGACCACAACAGAAATTTCTAAATCCTATTTCTCTGCCTTTCCCCCCCGCCCCCCACTCCCAAAATGTAATCTATTGTTGTTTTCTCTATACGCTATTTTTCACAGGAGACATTCGGACGAAGAAAGCCCTTTAGCCCATCTGATATCATCCATTCAGAGATGCCCACCCGACCATCTGCCCATCCCAGCTGTTTTTAAATGAGTCCAGTCCAGCTGGGCTGTGAACTGGGGGATTGAACCCACCACCCAGATGTCAGAGTGTGAGCTTGTGAGCCAGGATGGAGGTTCTGGCTGTGACTCACCCGCCACGGTGATCCGGGCTGTCCTGCTGACGATGGCCCCGGTCCCCTCCACCGAGGCCTGGCATTGGTACAGTCCCTCGTCGGGCCGGTGGTGCCGGGAATGTACCACGTTCTGGATGAGGAGGGATCCGTCAGGCAGCTGCTGCCTCCTCTCGTCCAGGGCCAGGTTGAGGAAGACGCCATCTTTCCGCCAGCTGACAGTCACCGCAGGGCCCTGGTCTGCCACCCCCGAGCAGTTCAGGAGGACAGAGCCACCTCGAACCGTCACCGTGTCCGAAGGCTCGGATACAAAGCGCAGAGAGATGAACCTTTTAATCTGAGACCCTGAAACGACAAGAGACGAGAGCCATGGGTTAAAGGTCACATCCAGTGTGGGAGGGGGTGTGTGGGTGGGGGGAGGTTAGAAGATTTTATTTCAATAAGACGTGGATTTAGTGATTGGGATCCTAAGAACAAGCCAACTGTAAGGCACTATATAAGGGAATTAAGAACAGGAACTACTCCATGAATGGGATACAAATTGGTCACTCAATCCACGACTGTTTGTGGGACGCTTCTGTGCGCAATTGGTTGCCGCGTTTCGCCCACAAAATACGCAGTCAATTCACTTTATAATATATTTTGTGAAGTGCCTTGAGACCTCGCGAAGACATGATAAGGCGCTGTATCAAATGCAAGGAAAATTAGACAATTATATCATCATAATTATGGGATAGAACTTGTCAAGCGGGAAGCTGAAAGAGATGTAGAGATATTATTAATAATAATTAATTATTACTAGAAGATATTATTGATAATAATGAATAATAATCCTTTGCATTCGATACAGCGCTTCATCACGTCGTTGAGACATCTCAAATTGAATCGCAGAATGTATTGTAAAGTGTAGTTACCGCATATTTTGTGGGCAAAACGTGGCAGCCAATTGCGCTCAGAAGTGTCCCACAAACAGTTGTGGATTGAGGAACCATTCTTTTTTTGGAGGGATTGTTACCCCCGGAAAGCAATCCGCCATTCAACTAACAACCGCGTTCCTACTGACTAGTTAAACAGAGGCGTCTGGAGTAAGTAAACTTTCCCAACGAATCAGGTATATAGTGAGATGCAGTGAGTTGACTATTTGCTCACTATGTCAATACAAGGTGAGCAGCAGATAAATAAGACAGGCAGGATACCAGGATTGCTAAATCATTAAATTCACATTCCCAGAAGCCATCTCAAATCATACTCAAGTTGATCAGTTCTCTGTTCAGTCCACACCTTGAGCAATGCACATAGTTCTGGCAACAAGTGGCCCTTGAGTCAATGCAGAGGAGAGGAGAGCATAGGAACATATATGTAGGCCATTCAGTCCCTCAAGCCTGTTCCACCATTCTATAAAACCATGGCTGATCTGTACCACAATGCCAATTACCCATCTTTGCTCCATATCCTTTGATCCAATCACAACTTTCAATAAAGGAATTAGATAGGTACCTGAAAAGGAAAATGGGGAATGGGGAAAGAGTTGGGGAGTGGGATTAATTGGTTAGCTCTTCTAAAGAGCCCAACAGATATGATGGGCCAAATGGCCTCCTTCTGTGCTGTAATATTCTATGATAATCTTACCTAACAAACACAAACTGCCTCAGTCTTGAAAATTTGAATGGATCCAACACCCACAGCCTTTTGGATTATTTTTTAGAGCAACGAGGATGTTGCAGGAATGAGCTATGAGCAGCAACGACTAGACAAGCTACCAATCTTCAGTCTTGAAAAGAGACATCTCAGTGGGGACTTTATAGAAGTGTAAAATATTTTGAATAGCACTGGAAGGTAAACCCATTTCAGGTGTACCAAAACAGGAGTCCCAAGGCACTGGAAGAGTGCACGGTCAGGGCACAGGTGGATGGATACTTGGGGAGTATGGGTGGAAGAAAGGCAGAGAAATCAGTTTAGATGATCTGCGGGTTCCAACCTGCTTCACGTCCTCCACCTCGCTCGCCCCGCTATTGGCAAGCGAGCCTTCCACCACTATGCCCCACCCTCTGGAACTCCATCCTGCAGTCCCTCCACCTCGCCCCCTCTCTTGCCAACTTCAAGACTCATCTCAAGACCCTCCTCTTCGCCCGTGCTTTCGATCACCCTTCTTCCCCCACCCTGCCCTCCATCCTCTCCGACCCCAATCCCCAGCTCAGGTCCGAAACACTGACTGGCCAGTGCCTTGGGACGTGAAAGGTGCTTTACAAATGATGCCCTTCCACACTGACTACAACACACACACACTGACTACCAACACACACACACTGACTACCAACACACACACACTGACTACAAACAGCACACACATACTAACTGTTAGCACATACATACACACACGCAGACTGACTACCAGCACATACGTACACACGCACAGAGTCTCTACACTTCACAAAAAGAAGGGATGTTCTTATTGGTCAAAATAGTAAAACAAGCTTAACAGCAAACAGAGCAAAACACTTCTAAAGAGTATGAGAGTAGGATTAGTCTCACAGCACTGAATCGTAGGATGGCATTATTGCTCTGGGGGGGAATGGGGACAGAGTGGGGAGGGCCTGTGTTGATTGACGGAGGACAGAAGCCCAGCCGGACTTATCGATCTTGACTGTCTGACCCAGTTAATGGGGGAGCAGTAGTTCATGGGGTGGGTTGGGGTTGGCTGGGCTTGGCTTGGCTTGACTGGGGTAACGAGGCTAATTGTCTCACTCTAACCCCACCGTGCTGAGCCTCAGTACTAAATGAGCTGTGGCCCTGAGGGCCTGTTGGTAGACCTGTTAGCGAGGCCTGGTGTGCTCTCTGATGCTGCTGTTTATCGATCAAATTAAAGACCATTAAATATGTCAAAGAACAAAGCCTCTCTGCGCTGAACACACTCAAACGCCTCCCCTGCTCTGCTGCAGTCGTTAACTCTTAAAGTGTCAGCCTGAGCCAGTCAGCAGCGCTCTCTCCTCTGGGGTCAGAGGGGTGGGAGTTCAAACCCCTCTCGTCTGGGAATTTGAGTCACGGTCCAGGCTGGGGAGGCACTGCCCTGGCATTCACATCCTGGCTGTTTACGGGACATTGCTGTGCGCAAATCGCATCACTTTCCTAGAATTATATAGCGCAGAAGGAGGCCATTCGGCCCATCGTGTCTGTGTTGGCTCTTTGAAAAGAGCCATCCAAATCGATCCCACTCTCTCCCCATAGCCCTGCAAATTTGTCCTCCCCAAATAATCATCTAGATTAGATAATACTTTCATTAGATAATTATCTGGGGAGGACAAGTTTGCAGGCCTATGGGGAGAGAAGTGGGGAGTGAGATTGATTTAGATAGTTCTTTTCAAAGAGTCTGCACAGACACGATGGGCCGAATGGCCTCCTTCTGCGCTATAATTCTATGATTCTGATACAGTAAATCATGTGCTTTTTTTCTCTCTATATCTCTCTGACACACACTCTCACTATCTTTCCCACCCTCTCTTTTTCACACTCTTTCTCTCCTTCACTCAATCTGACTCACACCCTCTCACTCTCTACCCTTCTTTCTCACACTTTCTCTTACTCACTTTCCATCTCTCTCGCTCTGTCCCACACCTTCTCTTTCTGCGTGTTTCGCTCTATCTCTCTCTCACTATCTTTTTCACCCTCATCGCTCTCTCTGCGTCTCGTACTTTGCTGCTGGAGTCCGTCGGGCCCTGTGATAAGCAACCTACCCTGAGGGTGAAGAAAGGAAAGCTCAGAGAGAGAACGAGCGAGTGAGAGAGAGAGAGAGAGAAAGAGAGAGAGAGAAAGAGAGAGAGCGGTGAGGGTGGTTGAGGAGAGCCCGAGTCCGGTGGGAAATCTAAAATGGAAAGTCACAGGTGTGTGAGTTCCTTGCAGCCCCAAAAAATAGCTCAGTCAGAACCGGGGACCTGGTTCATTAACAGTGAACTGATGATAGCAATGCCTCGGGGAACGGCAACCAATCCACTGTGAAAATGGGGACCGCAAGATTCCTGGTCACCCTCTCGGGGACAATGAAATTACTGTTGGGTCTAAAAATACCCCACCTATGAGAGGGGTGATCAGTGTTGAGCTCTCCCCGTGGAGACCCACTCGGCAAAGCCAAACCGGTCTCTCTCTCTCTCTTTCTTATATTTCGACAAGAAAAAGGCACTGTATCAAATGCAAGGAATATCATTCCAACTGCTGCATAGTCAGTGGTTTGGGGAAGAGGAACATGGCAGCCATTTTGCTCACAGCAAGTTCCCGCAAACAGCTGTGAGGCGAGTGAATGATTTATGGGAGAAACTCTTCTCTTTTCTAATAATCCCATGAATCTTCATCGGAGATCTAAAATCCAATAGACAGGATATCGGTTTTAATATCTTATTCAAAGAACGGCAGCTGCCATAATATAACAACAACAACAAATTACATTTACACAGGGCCTTTCACGTCGGGAGGACGTCGCAACGCGCTGGACGGTCAGGGAATTTGGACGCGAGCTGGGGGTTGGGGGTCAGGACCCTGTCGAAGAGGAGGGTCTTGAGACATGCCTTGAAGGAGGCAGGGTAGGGAGCGAGGCAAAGGGACTCTGGAATGGAGTTCTAACAGTGCGGGCAGAGAGCCGATGGTGCCGACAGCCGATGGTGGGGGGGTGCGGAATCTCCCCCATTCCCCTCCCATCATCCTTCAGCCCAGTACTGGGGGGAGTGCCACGTTGCTAGAGGTGCAGTCCTCAGACTGTTAATATTAAACCATGTTCAGAATCCGTTCGGTTCTGGTATAAAGACTGATTAAACAGCGAGGATAACTGACTAGTCACTGCACCGACTCCAGTACCAGATGGGCCATTGGGCCAGGCCATGTCCCTGGAACACCCGACACTAACATCCATCTGTCTACATTGGCAGCATTTTGTCACTTCTCCACCTGGCTCCATCAGGTGGGAGCATGTGGTGATAGTTGAGCCTTCCAACTGAGGTGAGAGCCAAGAAGAGCCGATCCAGCTCAGAGAGAGAGAGAAAGAGACAGAGAGAGCAACAGAGAGAGAGGGAGACACACAGAGAGAAAGAGAGAAATAGAGGCATGGACAGAGACAGGGAGAGAGGGTGAGAGAGACAGAGAGAAAGAAAAAGGTAAAGAAAAAAAGCCAAAGGAAGGAAAGAAGGAAAGCGAAAGAGAGAGACAGAGAGAAAGAGAGAGATGGAGAGAAAGAGAGAGACAGAGACAAAGAGAGATAGAGAGAAAGAGAGGGATAGAGAGAAAGGTAGAAAGAAAAAGGAAAAAGGAAAAAGAGGGGAAACGATGAAAGAAGGAAGAAAGGAAGGAAACATTTGCGTTTTTAAAGTGTTTCCTCGCATCACAAAGTGCTTCACAGATAATTTCATCGAG